ACTGGGCAGGGGCGGGGGCGGGGTGGGGGGCGCAGACACAGTGTTGGTTCTAGAAAATGACTCTCCAAGACAAAGCATTTGCCTCATTTTAAAAGATATGGACACTGCTACTAATGAACGGTGGTGGTTAAACAGAAATAAGTCCCAGAAGTTCTATAGGCCCATGAATCTGGCCTAAAGCAAGTCAAGAGTTGAAACAAGCCCTGACCGGTTTGGCTCAGTGGATAGAGCGTCGGCCTGCAAACTCAAGGGTCCCAGGTTTGATTCCGGTCAAGGGCATGTACCTGGGTTGCGGGCACATACCCAGTAGGGAGTGTGCAAGGAAGCAGCTGATCAATGTTTCTCTCTCATCGATGTTTCTAACTCTCTATCCCTCTCCCTTCCTCTGTAAAAATCAATAAAATATATTAAAGAAAAAAGAGTTGAAACAAAAGTTAGGTAGGTTCCAAAGGTCTACCTAAACTGATGATAACTGTCTTCTTTGAAGACATTAAGTTGCTTCCCAATATTCAATGTTCAGGTTGGTAGGGCACAGTGCAAAGGGGAATCATGGTAACTGTGGAGTTTACTACCAGTCAGACTTTAGGGGTCTAGTCTCTGGCAAGATGGGCGTAGCCTCCCCATCCATCATCCGATTTGGTGCACCTGAATCCTTACAGTTTGAAACCTCTATCAATCCAAAATGACCCCCTGCTTCTCTGACAAAGTAGAAACCTACTTCAGAATATGACCTTACAGAAACTGAATCATGCGTTAGTCCAAATGAATTATATATTAATTAAGTTATAATTATACATGGCGTTACAAGTAGAATCTGATTTCATTTGCCAATTAAGGAAGGAAGGGCCTCCATCTATACCACTCAAATGTGATTACTTTATAGGGAGGTGGTGGGTATTTAAGTCCAAAAAAAAACAACAGTGGGGAAAGGAGCTGTGCCTGCCTGTTCAAGAAAGCCTGAGAAAGGACCAACCAGAATAAAGAGATTTTGCAGGTAATAGAGAAGATTCTAGAACTAGTTATTTTCTTAACCAGCACCTGTATTTTGGGGGCATTTCATGCAGTACTAACATAGCCCCTAGTGTCCAAATTCTGATCAATAAATAAAGTCATTAGGAGGAGATCTCGTAGAACACCCCTCCCCCCAAAGCTGAACCTCCAGCTCCCTACCCACGGACTGAGAAGATCTCACCTTTTCTAGAAATACTCGAGTTTCATTCAATTGCCTCCCTCACTCTCCAGAGAACTATGTGTTGCTTCACCACTTTATTTACATAGTCAGGATGCACGACCCAGAACTACCCCACATGGTCTCCATCCTTCAAGACCTTGCTCAAATGCTCTCTCTCAAATACCAACAAACTGCAACGTTCCACTGATCATTCGGGTGCAGGCTGATCTCTCTCTCTCTGGCAGCCAGCGTCTCCAGGATGCCTTTTGTAAACTCAGAGCTACTTTGATCTTGCCTTGCAAGGTAAGTGGGTCTTCCCTTAACACTTGCTCCAGACGACAAATGAAGGCAGACCCTTGGGAGCATAGCCACGTTTGGGGTTAATTATCTTTTTCTATCCCAACGTAACTAGTCCCTTCCACAAAATAGTGGCTCAATAACACCTGATAGATATAGATTAAGGGCACTATATTTAAAAAAAATACGGTTGGGGTCGCTGATTTCGTTTGTGTTGCCATACCAAACCACACCAGTGAGTTTCAAATTGCCTTGACAGGCTTCATGCTCCCTCGCCGTCCCCAGGGCAGGCGCTAAGCAACTGTGAGATCACCAAAAAGGTCGGGAGCAGAGCGGGAATAAAGGGAAGCTGGGGCCTGAATAATTCTGAGTCATCGTTTCCTGAATGCGAAGCTGAGCAGCGTGGAGG